TTTTATTCTTTATTTTTGTGATGGATCTCATATTTAATTTAGATTGATTTCTAGTTCAAGCATTTAGGAAACAAAATTGATCCTAATATACCTCTTTTTAAATTCCAATTCTAAAATATACCTCTCTCTTACTTATTTGGATCATATTTAATTTAGAGTGATTTCTACCTAAAATATTAGTAAATAAAATCAATACTATTTGGTTTGAATCCCTCGACCTCTGCATATATCTCACGCCATATTTAGTTTAGGGGATGAGAATCAATGAATGAGAATGACTTTTGTAGGAATGGAATCAAATTGTGAGATCCATCTCATTGGGCCATCCCATTTTTCTCTTACAATCTAATCAATCCTATTCTCATTTCTTATTCTATGAGTCCCACGCATTTATCAGCCTTATTTTACTATTTTTACCTTTTATCTCTCTTTATTGATGAGACCAATAATTTTATTAACTAATTCTTTTTTTTATTTCTACTCCTAATGTTTTTTTTCCATTGATTGGTATGATTTTATTATAAAATATTATAAATTTATATTTATTTTTTTACTTTGTTATTATTAATAAATATTAATAGATTTTTTAAAAATATAATTTATTCTTATTGAATATTAGAATAATAAAATTTTATATTAAATTTTAATTTAAAAAAAGTATTTTAATTGGTGTAATTTTATTTTAATTATTCATTATTATTAATATTAGATAAATTGTTATAATAAAAAAATATTTACTATAAATCACATCGTAACAAAATAAATTAAAATTTATTATTATTATAATTGAAAAAAGATTAGCACACTAATGTATTTATAATTAACTAGAAAGAAGAAATGGGTATACTGAGTAATTGTTATATATTCGATTCCGATTACAAACAGTTTTGGTAAACAAAATCAAAGGAATAACATTCTCATTGATTTTATTTCGATTCATCCCCATTCCGATGCCTGACAAGTAAACATAGGGATGCTTGTCAAGTAAACATGGTCTTAAGGTTCATAATATATATATATATATATATATTTTTTTTTTCTTTAAATTTTAATTTGACCTCTCTCCTATCCATATGTTTTTCTTCTGCAGAATAAGGTGCCATTACTATCACTCGAAGCGTTGCATCATCTACATATTTTTATCTTCATCCTAGCCATTGTCCACGTGACATTTTGCGTTCTCACAATAGTAGCTGGAGGATTGAGGGTAAGAATCTATTTGGTATGCAATCCAGATTCTGTTTATTGTTTTTGGATTCACTTAATCAAATGTATTAAGTAAATACTTTGTTTTTGAAAATTGTTTTCAAATTCTTTTAAGTAACACATCTGAAAACATTGAAAAGAATCCTATTTTAATTGAATCTCTTCTTTTTAGATTTCTACTTTCAAATCATCAACTAAACAACCCTAAGCAATTATTTTCTGATCACTTCCACTATGTGATAACTAATTTGTTTGATCTCAGTTTTAGTTATTTTGTATAATGATATAGATTCGCCAATGGAAGCATTGGGAGGATTCTATTGCGGAAGAGAATTATGATGCTGAAAAGGGTAACCATTTAACAGTTTTATTTTATGGTCAATTTTGATTTTATCATCCTTTTTTTTATAATAATGGAGAGTCGGAGTACTCTCCTATATTAGGGTATAGGATACCTGCGCTCGCCGAAGGTTCGAACTTGAGATCTCTAAGTCAATATGACCAAAAAAACCTCAAGTCCTTGCCGATTGGGCTCTCTCTTAGACGATTTGATTTTATCATCATTAAATGCCATAAAAAATGAATGATTCGAAATGGGAAGAGTTGTATGAATCAACTATAAACAAACTCTAAGTTGATTTTTGATTCAAAAAGCTCTCTGCTTGATCACCGATACGTTTACGTAGTTATGGTTTTGTCCGGTTCTAATACTTTTGCAGCTTCACCAAAATTCACCCATGTCCATCAACATGCCTTTATCAAAGGTCGCTTTTTGGGCATTGGTAAAGATTCAGCTCTTCTTGGTTGGTCGGTAAGTCAAATAATTTTGCCCTCCAAGTATATCATTCTTGCCTTCACTCCTGTTTTTCTTGATGTTGAATGACACTTCCTTTAGCTTATTCTTCTCATCCTGGTTCCTCGAAGTTTACGTCACAACTATTCTTGATATAAAAAGAATTGTCCGATTAATTACTATCTAGAGAACTTTTAAAAGAACTGTCCTGTATAGATATTGAAATCTTGGCTAAAAAAACAATGGGAATATGATATATGGACAAAACTGAACATGTTACTACTTTCTGAATCTGACTGCATGATAAAACTTTGAAAAATTATTGAGATTACAAACGAGGACATGATAGAAACAACTATTATTGATATTGGGAGGTACAAGTTTGAGGAAGATTCGAGAGCTCCTCTTTCTCCAAGAGAACCTTCTAAGGTTATACTAGCCAAAATGATGCCTCTCTCCTACCCGCTATGCTCATATATGCCCTTCATTACGTAAACTCTCAGCCCACGTTATAACTAACTCATGGGTCCACACTAACACTGCTTCCTTAGTCCGGCTTGTTCCTCCTCCCTTCATCTTCTTCCTACAGGCTACAGTAAACATTAATAACTTAAGCTCTGTGTGGTGGTGCCTATCCACGAGTTTCCTTGACAACTAAATATATTAGAGTCAGGCTGTTGTCTCGTGATTAGTCAAGATGTACGCAAGCTGACTTAGACACATGGATATAAAAAAGATAATTAGGGTGGGGTCTGTGCCTATCAGAACGTTGATGTGTATGAATCAAAGTAGGAGAATATGCATGTAGAATCTCTTGGCAAATGAATAAAATGGGCCTCATTTATCCACTGCACTTAACTCAAGGCTTGTGAAGGATGCAGAAAATAAAAATGGAGTTCTCTAACTTTTGGTTGGAAAGATGTATACATGTCATGCTTTATGTAGGCTCCATATTCTGAAGTTTGGAAGTGTCTTTTTGAATCAAAACATTTGATGCTGTTAAGTGTAACTGGTTGTGGTTTTAACTTCCTCTTTCTTGGGTTTTCCTTCAGCATGCCTTCCTTAAGCAATTTTATGCTTCTATAACGAAATCAGACTATACGACATTACGCCTCGGTTTCATTATGGTAAGCCATCTATGATTCAGCGTGAATGTATATTTGACTTTCATTCTCCAACCTCTTAATAAAAGTTTTACTGCTGTAGACACACTGCAGGGGGAACCCCAAGTTTAATTTTCACAAATACATGATACGTGCGCTGGAAGACGATTTCAAGCATGTTGTCGGTATCAGGCAAGTAGCGTTCAGAAGTACTCTTTTATACTTAGCTGCAGAGGCTTGCTCGACTGTAGTTGTGCTAATTATGATACCTTTCTTTTTTCCTTGATAGGAAACAGACTTAATACATTGACAAAAAGGAATAGGCTAAGGGCCGGGGATGAGAAAGCCCGTACCACTCATAAAACTAATGAAGTACAGCTTTCCAATCACATCTAATCATCGTTAGACTGTAGTTACAAAAAAAAAAAAGGAAAAAAACCTTGTGATTTAGATACCAAGTAGAAGCAGTAATTTGTACACAATTACAAAAAGAAATAAAAAAATGAAGTCTATTGTTGAAGACCCAACCATTCCTTTCTTTCCAAAGACTCTAGAAAATGACCTTCACTGCACAACCCCATAGGATTGACTTTTCCTTTAAAAATACACATCCCTGAAGAACCTCAAGGAGCCAATATTCCACTGCCTTAGGCATGCAGCAAGCAAAATCAAATTCTCTCAACAGAAGGACCACGCATAAGAGGCTGTAGGGCAACGTAAAAACATATGATAAATGATACATTTGCAGCTGTCATTTTTTTCCCCAGCTCTTCTTCTCTCATTTTTGTAATCATTTGTTGCAGTTGGTATCTTTGGATCTTCGTGGTTGTCTTCTTGTTCCTTAACGTTAATGGTATGGTACTTCTTTGATTAGTTAATATGTGGCATTTCCTTATATTTAGTACCAATCAATGACTACAAGTTGATAGTGTCTTCAAATATGTTATCATGTGAGCCATTGTATTAACTTCCGGAGTATCACAGGTCTCGCTCCTTGCATTATGTTTATAGCCCACCCACTAATCTTTTAGGAGGCTTCGCCCACCTCAAGGCCAACTCTGAAGGACATCAATTTTAAATTATCAAGTTAACTATTTGGATTCTAATCTAGAATTGGAGGGCATCTCCAGATGTCCTAAGCTCGTTACATCATTAAACTCAAAATCTCAGACCATATATTCAGACATTATATCCTAAGCCCTTGCCACTGTCTAAGCCCTTATTATGGGAGCCACCTCTTATCACTATTCAATACTTGCTCTTTATATATTAGGATGATTCCATGTAATCCATAATAAAGATATTAACTTTAATCATTATTTCCTATTTACACATGCAGGTTGGCATGCATATTTCTGGCTAGCATTCATTCCTTTCCTTGTAAGTAATCTTCAATTTTCTGCTTGAAAAGCGTGTTGAGTTTGCCACTGTGTAGGCTTATATACTCTACAGGAATTTACAATTCTTTATGATACGATCATGATCACCTACTGTTAGGATCCCAAATACAAGAACCTAACTAGGAAAGTATATTGCAAATCTAAAGAGAAATTATAATATCGATAGCCTTTCGAGAGGGCTATCTCTCTCCCAAGAACTCTCTCCAAGTTCCCCACAGTACTATTCTCCAAGATGTCTTCCTTCCCTCCCTACTACTTCTATTTATAACAAACTCACTCCTAACTAATTACTCTAATGCCCCTAAATATAATACTAATTTTTATTCCCAATCTAACCCTAATAGGACCCTCACACCTACCTAGTATCTAAAATTTTTTCAATTCCTTTTGCAACTAAAGGTACTTCTTACTAGGATTAGATAGTTGTCCGGTGAGGTTAGTCGCTTGCAAATTGGACCAAAATCTCATAGATATTGAAGGGAAAAAAAGGAAAAAAATTAACTTTTTTACAGTATCAAGGAGGTTTGTATAGCCCATGGTAAGTTTAAGGGAGGGGTTGAATTGAAAATAGAGATTATATTGATGACTTGCAGAGTAAGAAATGATAGGAAAATGCCTTTTACTTACCGTTTGTAACAATCTCTTGGGGCCTATCTTGTGTTCAAGCCAAGTTGACTTTAAATAGAACCTCCCAACAGCTTTTTAAAGTATAACAATGTTAAGAATGTCGTTAAGGTAATCCCTTGAAATATTATTAGGATATTAGGGACATATTAGTTAAGTTTGTTGATGAGCGGTTATAAATAGAGCGGATTGGAGGGGTTAAAAAGAGATGAAAACTTGGGATTGTTTTCTCTTTGATGTTGTTATTCCATTTCAATCCTATTTTCTTACGTTCCAATCTCAAGATCGGTTCCTATCAAACAATTGAAAATAAATTTTATTTTGTTCAGCTTCTGCTTGCTTTGGGAACGAAGCTGGAACATGTGATAACCCAACTGGCTCATGAGGTTGCAGAGAAGCATGTAGCAATTGAAGGTGATCTAGTAGTCCAACCATCCGACCATCACTTTTGGTTTCAGGAACCCCGTTTCGCTCTCTTCTTGATCCACTTTATACTTTTCCAAAACGCTTTCGAGATCGGTTTTTTCTTCTGGATATGGGTAAGCAGCAAGCTGACTTTATTGCTGGTGATGAGTTTTTGTTTACTTGAGACTCAAATTCATGCTTGTTTTGATATGTTTCCAGGTCCAATATGGCTTCGACTCGTGCATCATGGGACACGTCCGCTATATCATTCCGAGGCTTGTTATTGGGTAAAGCAGAAACCCCAGATTTTGCTTTCCCTCATTACAATTACTTCATTTTGATCACCAATTTCCATGTAAATATGTTGTCTGGATCAGGGTGTTTGTTCAGGTTGTTTGCAGCTACAGCACCCTACCACTCTATGCCATTGTCACACAGGTAACTCATGATGGGTTATTATGAGATTATTAAGGTGGGGTGAGGGTTTGGATTTAGGTGGTTTGGCTTAAACAATATTTTTTTCCCTCATCTTTTCTGATAAGAAACAAAAGCTATATTACTAACATAGAAATGAAACAACCGAGGAGGCCTCCTTAAGAGCTACCGCATTACAGCTTGTCAATCTTGCTGAAATAAGACTATACTGTAATTACAAAAGAATTTTTTATGAGTAAGAGGCACCCAGAGGTTGTGGTAACTTGTACGTTCTCACAAAAATTTTCAAAGGGTAGAATGGAATGGTTAAAGACTCCTTGGTTTCTTTCCTTCCAAAGACTTCAAAGAGGTGCACGGGCTGCACAACTCCACAAAAGTTTCCCTTTTTGAGTCACTTCTAGAAGCCAATCCTCAATTAAACGGGGAAGGCAACCAGAAATGCCGCACTTTCTCATGATGAAGGTCCACCCTTGGTAGGCGAAGGAGCAATGTATGAAGAGATGATCAATGTCTTCAGCATTTTTAAGGCATAAATGGTATACCGAAGGGGACAACACCCAATTTAGGAGCTTCTTCTGCAGTTTCTCATGGATATTAAGGCTTCTATAGGCAATGCTCCACGGAAACACTTTCACCTTCTTAGGACAACAAGTTTCAACAATACTATAAACCTACTCTTCTCTGGGCGCACTTTAAAGACAAATTTCCTAAACGCCTCGTAGGAAACCTCCCTTATTATGCAACAATGTAACTCGAACAGTGAAATGGCCGGTCGGAATATCAATTCATTTGATTTCTCACTCTCTCATCAACCTCACTAATCTATGTTCCAATTCTGGCAGATGGGAACTTCTTTCAAGAAGGCAATCTTTGATGAAGATATACAAGCAGGCCTGGTTGGGTGGGCTCAGAAGGTGAAGAAAAAGAAGGGATTGAAGGCAGCTGCTGATGACTCCAGCCCAGGAACAACCAAAGGAGGTTCCACTGTGGGGATTCAGCTGGGAGATGTTATGAGCAAGCCTTCTGCACCAGAAGAATTTGAGCCTGATGATGCCTCCAAATGATCTGCCTTGCTAGAGATTTTAAGATAATGTAGCTCATTTGTAGAGTTGTGTTATACCGTGACCGCTACACTTACCCCGTCCGGTAGGAGAATGAGCGATGTAATAGGTAAAAATCGTCGAGACGTTTTGATAAACTGGAAAATTTAATAGGGGAGCGATCCCAATCTATGAGTTGTATCACGTCTTATATTGGTAATCTATGTAGACTTTTGTTTTTGTGGTGCATAGTTGATGTTGTCTACTTTTAGTACATAAGTTTGATGTGATGTTTGCTCATTGACGTGCTCGATTTTCATTGGTTCGTTATTTGAATAGGTCATTCAACTATTTCGTTCAAATCACGACTTTTTGACTGAAGATATCTGTGTTAGTTAATTAAACTAGACTCAATTACAGAATTACAAAACTAATAAAATCGAAATTTATTCTAGATACCAATAAATCAAGGGATATCACTAATTGACATTGAGATATATTAGTCAATTATTGCCCTTCAAATTCTAAATTAAGGTTATATTTATATATATATTTTTACGGTTTCTACTAAGTATAGTTTAAAAATACATTTGGTTAGTGAAGTTTTAAAAGTATCAGTTGGTTATGACCTTTTTTTCCTTTGTTTTCTATTGAGTTTGGTCTTAGCTATACTATTCTTGTAAAATTTTAAATTTTTTTCTTGAAATATATACTTCTACATTTCAGATAAATGTCTCCATTTTTTCACCAATTTTTAGGTTTCAAATATTATTTTGGATTTTAGTTTTGAATTTTCTAATACTTTTAAAATATTCATCTTATTCACGTACTTTCAACCTCCACTAATATATATCAAAGTGAACATAGTTCAACAAAAAATTAATATATATCTCAAACCACCACCTAGTTTTGTTCGTATATTTTTAGAAGTGATCATTTTTTTCTCTTTTCTCTTGACATCTTACGTGAAGTGATCATTTTTTTGTTCGTATATTTACATCTCAACTAATCTTACATGACATCTTACGTGACAACCAACCGACTCAACTCTCCTACATTTAGTTGCCAAGAATACACATAATAAATTTTTTGATCATTCATTTTCATTTCTATCTAATTTCTTCTGTCATAATTTTTAACATGAAATTTTAATTACTAAATTTCTAGAAACATAGTTATAAATTTATATTAAATATTTCTAGGTATAAATTACCGTTTTAAAATTATAAATACCAAATCGAATAAAAAGTTGAAATATTTAAACTTTCTTTCATTAGTTTTACATTTTTAACGATGGAAGGAAAATAAATAAAATAAAATATTTTCCATAGAGAGGAAGCGGATAAGAAAACGAGCCACTCGTCTCATTCCCACAGTTCTTCTTCTTCTTCTTCTTCTTCACATGAATCTCTGAACTCAGAGCGGCAACAATGGCGGTCGTATCATTTTCATCACCTTCAACCTCAACAAGCCATCCCATCTTCAGCAACAATCCTTCTTCTTCTTCATCTCCGAGACTCAGAACTTCTTTCCTCGCACTTCCTCCTCCCAAATCCCACCGCAACAACTTCTCGCTTCGTCTGCAATTTCCTAGGCCAAGCACCGCTACACGCACCAACCATGGCCTGTCAATTTGTATGAGCATGGAGGCCGGCATTGGAGTAATGGCCACCAAGCTTGGAATGATGAGCTTCTTCGAGCCGGACGGCAAGGTCGTCCCTGTCACCGTCGTCGGTTTCAAGGAAGGCAACATTGTCACGCAGGTTAAGACGGAGGCCACGGACGGATACAGTGCCGTTCAGGTGGGATATCGTAGGGTTAGGGATCGGAAACTCACCAAACCCGAATTAGGGCACCTCCAGAAAGCGGGAGTGATTCCTATGCGCCATCTGCAGGAGTTTCGCCTGCAGTCTGTTGATGGATTCGAGCCCAATCAGCGCATGGATTTCAATGAACTCTTCAAGGAGGGTGATCTGGTTGATGTCTCCGGCATTACAATTGGAAAGGGATTTCAAGGTTTTGTTCCTTTCTTATTCTGTTTAAACTCTGTTAGCTCCAATATTGCCTTGGTTTTCGTTTTTCCTCTGAGTTTCAAGATTCTGTTCTCTGCTTGGAGTTGAATTTAGGCATGCTGAGAAATTTTCATAGATGTTTTTGCTGTTTGAATACATGATTGCATTCTGATTGTTTGGAGTTTGTTTGGGGTGAAAAAGAGAAGCCTCTCCATTTCATCCAGAGCCGAAGTTTGAAATTTCTAAATCCCCTCTCTTGTATTCAAAATTATTTAGGGTAAGTCATTAAATTTCTCAGTTCTTATGTCCCATGCTCTGAAACATAGTCTGATAAGAATTGAGACTTCTAAATCTTTTCAAAAGTTGTGTGTGGATGAGGATAAGACTTTTATCAGAACACATTATATTGCCATCTAGTGATGGACCTTGCCACAGTAGATTCCTTAATAATTGGGAGTCGGAGCTTTGCTCCTCTATACTCAGAGGCACTCACGCCCATTCCAAGCCCGACTCGAAAGACATCAAGGTTATTTTGGTATTAAGCTTACCAGAAGGTTTGAATTTGAGACCTCTAAGCCAGTATGACCAAGAGACTTCAAGTCTTTGCCGACTTGACTGTTACTTGTAGGGTCGGTAGATTCCGTAATATTTTGCTTATATCTTGATATTCATTTTAAATCTTTAAATAAGCCATTAGTTAATATTGTGCATACATCTTGATATTCATGTTAAATCTTCAAAGAAGCCATTAGATTAACGTAAGTTTTAACTACTTAGATTGATATACTCAGCAACACTCTCCTCTCATGTATAGGTTTTGATTCATATTACCCGAAAGATATTATGAAGATGTGAACTCAAATTACCCTCCAAAGTCCGACCTAAGTTGATCGACTACGATAAACTTTAACCATTTATCATATTTGCAACACACGAGCAAAACTCGATTATTAATTTGACTTATGAAACCCCCTTGTATTTATTTTTTAGGTGGAATCAAGAGGCATAACTTCAAAAGGGGTCCAATGAGCCACGGTTCGAAGAGCCACAGAGCACTCGGATCAATCGGTGCAGGAACTACACCCGGACGCGTGTACAAGGGGAAGAAGATGCCCGGAAGGATGGGAGGAACCAAGACAAAGATCAGAAAACTCAAGATTGTGAAGATTGATGATGACCTTAATGTTGTGATGATCAAAGGAGCTGTCCCTGGTAAGCCTGGAAACCTTCTTCGAATAGCCCCTGCAAAGATTGTAGGAAAGAACATTCCTAAGAATTAGCTTTTGCTCTCATCTGTCGGAATTGTGTTCTTCAATTCTTTTTGTATTTTTGAGTTGTTGCATCTCTTCAACTGGCTATTGTATTATGATAAGTTTACAGTTATATTCTCCAGAAAATGTTTGATTCATTTCCAGTTGCTCATCAGTTGGGGATTAGACTTCTTAGAGGTGATGTGTTGGAGAATGGAGATTTCTAAATTTGGTTAAGAAATGCATTTGGTCTTGTCTTTTCATTAAAGTAACTATTAGTCCATAAACTGTAACGATTTAGTTCTTCCACTTAATATATAAAATTTTAAACTTTTTAAACTTTAATATGTAACAATATGACAAAGTCCATGTAGTTTAAAGTTTGAAACGATTTAGTGTCCCTGTCATGAAAAATATTGTTAAGGGTTGATTGAATCTCTTAAATGGGTAGATTGATAAATTGACGAGGGGATAAATGTATTTATAAATTACAAACACTAAATCGTTATGTAATAAGAGTCGTCACTTATTTTTTGAGGTTTTTCATAGTAGTGATTAAATTGTTTCAATTTTTTAACTATAGAGACTAAATTGTAACGTTAGAGATTAAATCATTACTTTAACGAGTGCTCGAGGAACATAAGTGTTTTTTGACTTGTGTACGAGGATTGTTTTTTAACTTTTAAATATTTATAGTTCTTTTAGACGGGATTTCCTCTATTGAACCCTTAGGCCGCTTTTGTGGCTTTGCTTTTATGACAATTGGATGATGCAATTTAAGTATAAATGGTTTGTACACCAAATTTGATTGAATTCACTTCCTGTACTTCCTGTTCTTAAACCATGACCAACCATGTATGCTGTTTACTGGAAGGCTTCTCTCATGTTACGATCCTCTTCCAGCCAAGCTCTCTTTCTCCTCGATTCAAATGCTCTATCAACCAAAGTTAACAATGACTTAGAAATAATCCTACAAAATCTAAAAACATAATTAAAATCTTTTGGAGTCTGGATGTCTAAAATTAAACCCCTTCTTTTAGTGGTTTTCCGTCTCTTTAGTCTTTTCATCAAAGCTCCACAGCAAAGAGAGAAGTAAACCAAACCAGAAAAGTAATCTAAGAGATGGGTCACAAAAGTGGGAAAGAAGGCATGAGAATCAATGGGAATGACATAAACCTGTTGCTTCATCCATAGATGATTTCATAGAGCAAGTTCCTGGCATCTAGGGTCGACTCGACTTCAGAAATGATAACAAACGCTGATAGGACAGACTTCAGACCATCCTCTGTTAGATGATTTCATAGAGTAAGTTCAAACCACAACGGTTGGGTTAAGAGGAAGACGAGAAATAAAAAACGGTTGTACACGATGCAACATTTGAGATCGAAAAATGCCACTCTACCATGAAGCGAGCATTTCCTCTCCAGTCACACGGTTTTGCACAAGTAAAAAAAAATAATAGATTCTTATAGCCGTGTAAACGACATTAACAACATTACCATCAAAAGAGAGGAGCGATTCTTATTCTCCATTCTTGTTTGAGGGCAACATTGCTTATAAACAGCTTTTCACGCTTTCTTCGGGCAAAACTTCGACATGTCTTCGTCCATGAATGCACCAAAAGGAATGAAATACACCTCAAGAAAACTTAACTACCGCGTCGTTTGAACTTCCAGAAAAACACAAAATCATATATACACACACGCACGCAATCCACACAACCATTGCATTGACCCCCTAGGACCCACCAAAAAGTAGAATCAATCCTATCCATTGCACTTGAGAAACAAAAGAAAATACGGTTAAACATGTGCATCGACTGCAAGGAGATCAACATGGAACGGTAATATGTACAAAACCTTTGTAACGTCGATGCAGCTACATATAAAACGTTAATTTCATCATTACCAGAAAATTTGTAAGACTTCTAATTTCTAATCTCTGTTCTGTTCTGCACAGCAAGAGGTAGATCGGAGATATACGGTTATGAACTAAAATTTTGCAGACCTTGCTTAACCATCTTCTTACCACTCGATCTCGTGCACTAAGAGGCAGTACAGCACTAAAATGTAAATCACTAACAAAACGGAGATTCCGATAAGTCATACCGTCATCCATAGCTATGCAATTCATGATCTGGGAGTATAGCGGAGATGTTGCTCGTAAAAGTTGATCAACTGATATTAGTTAACACCGCGGTTAGAATCAGAGGGAAAACAATTGAGCATTTGTTTAAGGCAGTTCAAAAGCATATATATAACACTGAAGAATAGGATAACCAATTACCAGCAGTGGATTGTTAGCCTTGAGGAACTTGTTATCGACCATCACTTCCGTTCCATCGGACCTATAACCGAGGAAACCAAAAAAATAAAGTCATTCAAGAATATGAAAGCTAACACAACCGATTCAGGCACAGAGATAATATTTAAACCCCAATGGGAAAAGAAACAAATTTTAAAGGATCAATGAGAAAGGAGTTTCAAGTTTGAACATGATTTTGAATAAATAACCCACAACCGATTCACCCATTGATCGAAATGGCAAGTTAAAAAGCTCAATGGAATATCCTTTCAATATTTAAATCCCATGAGTTTCTACCACCAAAGGTCGTACGTTTAGTAGTTTGTCTTATGAGACTAGTCAAGGTGAGTATGGGTTATCCGAACACTCACAATTCCTCAAAAAATAAAAAGTAAAAAATAAGATCAAACTTTTTTTTTTGATATCCGTGCATCTGGGCCAATTTGTGGATACCTTGACTAATCATGGGCCAGCCACTTGAACCTACTACATTTGGTTGACAAGAAAATTCATAGGATATTAAATCCTAGGTAGGTGGTCATCATGGTTTGAAAAGATCAAACTTGAAAATTGTGAAAAATGTGAAAATGTTTAATTTCCCCGATTAAAATGAAAGGATAAGAGCTTTCAATCAAATAATCACACACCATATATAAAAAACAAGAAAATACATTTTTTTTTTCTATAAGAAACAGAACATATTAAACCAAAAGAAGAGAACAGCCTACGGCAACGACCGAGGAGACCCTCCCCTAGAGAGCTACCACATTACAGCTTGCCTCTCGCTGGAAAAATGTATCTTATGGTTAAAGAAGTAATTCATAGCTTTAGAAACAAGTCCAAAAAAGAAATACATAACATGCAGAACATAAAAAACCTAAAATGATGAAATGAGAAATAGGAATTAGGGGAAAAGGAAAAATAAGAGAGAGCTACATCTGATTATAGATCGGTGAAATTGAAAATCTAGAACCTGAGGCTCCATTTGATAATGATTTCTTAGCAAGTTCAAAAACAACCAAACAAGATTTTAATGACTAACTTTAGTTTTAAAAAATTTAGCTTAGATTTTGAAAATGTTTTTAAAATATGGATAACAAAACAAAGAAATTAATGGGTGAAACCCATCGTTTTTAAAAAACAAAATAATTATAAACTTCAGACAACTGTACTATGGATGTTTTTAAACTTAATTTCAAACTGTTCCCAGAAAATCGGTTAAAATACCGGTTTCAACATCGGTTTCATTGGTTCAGCATCAACGTTTGATTTTTCTTAAACCGATATGTTGACCTCAACCAAAAACTGACCTGGACTAACCTGCTTACACCCCTATCCTTTGCTTTGGAAGAACAGATAGTCTAAAAATATGGTTGAGAAGTATATTTACCATTAAACTAAAAGAAGGACAAAGCACATACCTCATAGCCACAAAAGTGACCAAAACATCCTGAATGTTGTTCGACACAGATGCCGAATAGCCTAACGGTTTGATAATCTTGATGATACTCGGCTCGTTCCTCGCTTCATCGGTCTTGTTATTGCGACTTAAACTCTCCCCGTGATATCCAGAATTCTCAACCCCCATTGGTTCCACTCCAACACCAGAGTCTACTACAGCCAATGTCAATTCTGCATTTTGAGCCATAGGCAGTTCAGATATAGTTGACTCTTGTCTAAACCTTTTAACCGAACCGGACTTCCTTCTCTTAGCTCCGGTGCACCGATTTTCGGAAATGGGTTCCACAGCGACACTTTTAGAAAGACCAGCTGCAGGACTGTTATTCTCTGATGTCCTGCCTTCTTGAAAATTTATCGCAAGTTTATCGGTAATGGCTATGTTGGTTAATACTGTTGCCTTGAGCTCACTGAGCTTGGGATCATACTCACGTTCGTCTTTCTTTCGGTCAAATCGTAGAGGTAGATTCCTGCCTACATTATCAATATCGGTTTGCTTGGCTCTCTCGATAGCAGTCACAGCTCCATTCTTTTCTCCTTCGTGATTACAAACTACAGATTGAGAATGAACATAAGGATGAGTAAAGCTAGACATGTTTATAGGAGCAGAGGGCAGACGCTGATCAACAACGCTGATTTCGACATCGGTGACATTGTAAGTAGAAAAGTTGTCTCGATGCTGCCTCTTCTTGGTCTGAGTATGAACAACCCCATGTTTTCGCTTCCGCTTCCGCTTCCCCATCGTTAACCTTCAAAAGACACAAGTTCAACAACATTAGATCATATATACTTGACAAGAAACCATCACAACAATCAGCATAACATGCCAAAGAATGCTTCTTCCAGCTACCAACAAAAAAGAGAGAATACCATACCTATGCTCGAATGCCTCGATGAACTCAGAGCACGACTGGAGATTCTCCAAGGGCTCCCAGGTATTAGCTGTCTCCGGCCAGCCACGCCTTCAGTAAATTTCAGTTTGGTTAGTAATCCGAATTTATATCACAGTCAAGCTCTGAGAAACCAAAGTAAACAAACAATGGAGGGGAACACTCACCATTTGATCAAGTACTGAAGCTGGCCCTGTTTTTGTTGGAATCAAGAACACCCAATATCAGTAAATGAACAAAGATTCAGAAACCCATCATTCTCTCAATCCAAAAGGGGCAAAAAGTTTAGGGAAACTTCAGGTAAATCGAAAATGAGAGCATACCTTGCGAACCCTTTTTCGGCGGATGGCTTCAATTTCAAAGAAGCCCTCATCGAGATTGGTTCTCTCAGAAGCAGGAGCAGAAAAATCATGCTCGTCTCCCTCCTGTTCATCTTCTTCGTCTCCTTCGGCATCGTCTTCGGCCTCTTCTAGGTTTTGCTCTTGGTGGGTGTCCGATAAATGGGAAGTCGAAGGAGCGGCGGATGATGAAGCGCCATTAATGGGGTTGCTGCTGCTGTTCACATTAGCGCAATACGAGTCGCCTCCATGGAGATGAAGTTCACCGCCATCCATGGCGTCGTGAATTGAACCCACGACCACAACCTCCGTCGAACCGCTCGCTCTTTTCTTCCTCCCTCCCCCTTTGATTTTCATCATAAAACCCAAATTCCCCTCTTCGGAAACTCAGAAAACGAGAAGAATTGAGAGAGAAAACGGACACATGGCCTTCAATTTCAAGGGGGTTTTGTGGGTTATTGGAATTGATGGGAATGCTTGAATTTCCCCTGCAAATACAGCTACATTCTAGAGAGAAAGCAAGAGAGAGCGAAAGAGAGAGAGGATTGGAGAAGAAGCTGTGAAAAAATTTCCAAAAACGAAGCCAAATGTCACTACCAACTGCACAGACTGAGCTGCAACACTTAATTGAACTTTGCCTTTATGGTTGTATATGAAAAATGAATGGTGTTTTGATTTTTTAGATGCTTTTGCTTGGTTCTAATGTGGGTTTCGTTGCTTCTTTCTGTTTCGCGTTCTACCTCCAAAGTCCAAAGCTTTCAACGGGCTGGCTGGCGTGATATTGACTCTATGCCATTTATGCTCTGCTTAGAGGCTACACCGAAATGTAGATGATATTAAATTGGAAAAAGGGGAAATCAATTGGTATCTTTTTTTTTTTTCCTTCTCCTATTTTGAAGTGATTCTTCTTTTCGGATTATCCGATGTTCTTGTTGTTGGATGTGATTTGTGCTATTGGGCTTTGATATCTATTTCGTTTTAGGCCAATGTAAGCATAATTCATTTGAGTTCTTATATAAAGTTCGTTTAGGGGAGGTGAGTCAAGGTCTAAATTAAGTCAAAAGACATAGTCAATGGATAACAGGTGAATATTTTTGTACTACTCTTCTTGTCCTGAGAGAGGGAGGAAGCTAGATTAGTCAGAAGATAATTATTGATTCAAGGATGCAAGGTGTCTCTACTTTTTCAAGGTAAGAAGAGGTAGAGAAGATAACTTGAGCCAATGTTCGAGTATTAGGCACTACGACGTTGAAGTATCTCATGTCATACTCCTAAGAAAAGTTCAAACGACCTTCTACAAAAAGGTACCCGTACCTGAAATCAACATAGGTGGTTAGGTAGAGAATACTAGGGGCATGAGACAACTCTCTCGTCGGAACTCGTCAAAATAGCCTTGTAACTTCAAGAGAAGGGGTGTCTATCTTCTTTTTGGTATATTCTCCACCTTTCATTAAATACGGACTTGAATTCTTAGTTAGTAGATAAAAAAAAAAAGACATGGTTAAAGAAGTTTTTAAATCCTAATTTTTAAAAATAGAAAAAAAAACGAAATAGTTATTAAACCGGCCATAATTATAATATTAAGTTTTGTACTTAAACTTTCAATGTCACATTATCATAAATTTCTAAACTTTAAAAAATTTGTAATAAGTTTATGAATTCTTAAAATAGGTCTATCTAGTCCCGACATTTTAAAAGATTCTTAATAGATACCGACACTTTCGATTGTGTTTAATAAGTATTTGCTATTGATTCCACAATTTAAAAGTTACACCACAACATAAATCTATTAGAAACTTTTAATGCAAGGGATTTAACATATATGCAACGTTAAAATTTTATGATGCATAGGTTTTACCTTTTAGTAAACATGATCTTGAAAATTCATGGAGCAAACTTGTAATTTAACCTTGAAATAAAAAAGAAAAATTTGCTACGCTTTTTAGTAAGATATATACAACGTTTTACTTTTTAGTAAACACTATTTTTTTCCCTCTAGATTTATGAAAAAATATATATCCTACTGACCTTAGGTTTTTCTCTCTATAAATAAAAGAAAATTAATCATAATGAAGATAAGCTACAAAACTTTATTTTTTGCTACGCTTCACATAAAACTCTAATTCTTACTTAGGCATTGAAGCGTGTGTGGCTAGCACCACACCGGTGTGTAATCCCTTTTATTTTGCAGGTTTCGTCGATCTATTAATTGGTATAAATTTGGTAATTTTGGTAGGTCAAATTTTTGCATCAACATATACGATCCAGAGTAACTTGTATATCATAGTTACAACAAATAATCATCTCTTATATACCTGATTATATTTGTCTCTCCATTTTTTAGTAAATTACAAGTAATAGGAGTTAGATGCACACAAATTTAGGAGACAATTACCGCCATGTGTCGAGTCATTTTTTAATTCGTCTAATTGGTTTTTATCGAAGTCAATATTTTCTTGATACCTTTACGAACATTTCTATAAAATTGAGATCTAATTTTTATTACATTTAAGGATCAATCCTTATATATATATATATATATATATATATATAATTACGTTAAAAAATTGATTTTATCATAAAAACAAGTGAGGTGGGAGACTCGAACTCATGATCTCTTAATCTAAGACATGTGCTAATTACCGCTAAATTAAACTCATGTGGATATATTAATCGTATTTAGTGGTGAATAAAAAAAAATTTATTAGTTTATCTTTATTTATCTATTGCGCATTTATAACAAAATACTATTGGTTTTAATGTTTAATTATGATCTCAATAAATAAATAAATAAAATTTAACATACTATTTTGGTATTTATATTTTTAGTTTTTGTGCATTTTGGTCCTAACTTTCAAAATATTTATTTTGGTTCATGTATTTTAACTTTTGTCTATTTTAGTCCATGTTAGTAATTTCGAGACGTTTATTTTGGTTATTGTACTTTTAAAAAGTTTTATTTTGCATCTCTTTTTTTTATCACAATTTCAATACAACATTATACTCAATATATTTATTTAAATGTAGCCATAGTTTTATATTAAAATATTTTGTATAGAATTTGTGTTAAAATTTTGTCAACATGGATCAAAATTATAACTTCTTAAAAGTATAGGAATAAAAAGGAACATTTTTAAAGTATAGTGACTAAAATGAATCAAAATTGAAATTACAAAATGAAAAAAGATACTTCGAAGGAAGGAAGGTAGAGTATTTTAACCTAAAAAAAATTGTATCTTTCATGTTTGATTTAATGAAAAGTTGTTGGAATTAAGATTATTAGTTGAAAATTATAAATTCGATGCAAACAATTGACATTTAATAATAATTAGTTGAAAATAATTAAATTCATTCAAATATTTAACTTTTTTTTTTAAGTTTTAAGAGAAAACAATAAAGTAATGTAAAGATTGAACAATTCAAATAATAGAAAGTGAAGTATGCTAAACAAATTTGTGGAATGGTGATTTTGCATTTCATTTTGCCTTGAGAGATAATTTCATTATCTAAAATTGAAATATCAATTAAACTTTTATCAATAATAGATTGAAAAACTTAGGTTAAATTATAAATTTTGTTACTTTGGTTATCATATCTAATTAAAAAAGAGGAAATGAGAAACGATGACATTATCAAACAGGTCATAAGTATATGTTTTAGTCCCTAATGTTTGAATGATTTCAATTTAGTCTCTCTATTGTTTAAAAATTTTCAAATTAGTCTCTTACGTTTTAGCATTTTTCAATAATGCCCCTCGTGAATGTTAAAATTAGTTGATGATATTTGGTGAGTTGACAAATGTTCTAAGAGAAATTAGGCAACCTAAGAGAAAATGTTTTAATTCTTCGTCTAAACTTTCTAAGAAGTTGACATAAGTTTTGACTTTTCTTTATTTAGGTGACCAAATTTATTCTATCAATTCACTAAGTATCACATCTCGTAAATTTAATATTCATCAACAAAAATGGTATATTTAAAAAGTATTAAAATATAATCGACTAAATTCAAAATTATTAAATAATAGACTTTTTTTTTTGAAAAAATAACTAAATTTTTTAAAACAAACTTATACATAAGACTTCATTTTCTTCTCCTTAATCTTTATTTATTGTTCAGCTCTTTCAAGCTCTAAGTTCCGATTTGAAATTTGAATTTCCAAATTTGAATTTCACTTTTCATGGGAAGCAAAACTTAATCTTAAGATTAGGCAATAAATATTTTTTCCAAGAAGATAATTTTAATTGGCCATTTTATTTCTTAACCGTTTTAGTTTTAGTTTCAAATCGTGGTTTAGATTTAAAAAAACGTTTTTAAAAAGTAGATAGAAAAACAAACACATGGGTGAAAATTTTATTTACAAACTTAATTTTCAAAACAAAAAACAAAAAACAACCTAAAGTTTCAGATCTTGAGACTCAGAATTTGGCAACAGAATCTAGAAATTTTAACACAGCCCTAAAACACATAGACAATGACCCACAAGCCACAGTCATGAATCAAGAGAAATGACTTGATTTAAAATTGAATATGTATGAACAGAAAGTACCTATTATTCTGTCAACAATCAGATACTACTCTATCCTGAAATGAGAAAAAAAGATGCATAATAATATATGTTACAGAAGAAAAAAAAGAAAAAAGAGAGAAAGAACAAGCCTTCTTTAAGCCTCATATCAGAAAATAGATACTTTTGGAGGAATCTAACTCTTGAATTTGATGGAGACTCATCATCATGACATCAGATACTGCTGCAAATGTTTAGTTCTCTTCTTGTTTTTGAGTTTTCTGAATGCACATGACTCAATTTGCCTAATTCTTTCCCTACTTACACCCATTATTTCTCCTATTTCTTGCAGTGTTTTCATCCTGCCATCTTCCATCCCAAACCTCCATCTAATTACCTGTCTCTCTCTCGGGTTAAGGGAGTCGAGTACCTTTTCGAGATCCTGCTTCATGAACTGTTTTATCAGCAGATCTTCTGAAGTTTCTGCTTCGGGGTCGGAAATGACTTCCTGTAAAAGAGCATGAGAATCAAACAGGTAAAAGATGGTGGATATTGCAATGAGAATCAAAGAAAATCTGGGTAGGAATAAGACGGACCGAAGGTTTGAGATTTTGGTTGATCCCGATCTTTTGCTCCAAGGATCGAGGTGCTTTCGGAGTCATCAGTACTGCAGCGAGCCTCTTCATCGACAGTCCGGCTGCTTCTGCGATTTCTTCATCATCAGGATGTCTTCCATTTTCACTGTATAATTGCTTTCTAGCCTCCTTCACCCTATAAGTTGCTTCCACCATGTGAAACTGCCCATTCATCTCTTCAATTAGTAAACTCATTGGGACTTTCATTGGTTATAAAATTTTCTCCTTTGTATTGTTACATAATGTAATTCATTCCTGTTTACTCAAAATCAATTACAGTGAAAAAGAAACATACTGGCAAGCGAATAGTCCTTGACTGATCAGAAAGAGACTTTCGGACCGCCTGCTTTATCCACCAATGAGCATAGGTTGAGAACTTGAAGCCCTTAGAAGCATCAAATTTTTCGGCACCTCGTACAAGGCCTCGACACCCTTCCTGCATGTCCACACAAGCATAATTCAAAACTGAAACAAGGCATTCATATTTCAGTCTCCATTGATAAGTATTTTGGGCTAGCATGCAACAATGAAAAGTACCTGAACTAGATCTTGGAGATTCATCCCAGCTCCCTGATAGTTTTTTGCAATCGATATGACAAGACGAATGTTGCTTTTTATCATTTTATCTTTACAAAAAGTACCATAGTTTAGACGCTTCCTCAGTGTCCTCTGATTGACTCCAGCAGCAGCAGCCCATTGTGCAAAGGTCGGCTCTTTCCCATACCGTTCCCTAAGCTCTTCTTGGAGCCTTTCCAGTTTTAATAAGTCCTGGATTAAGAAATAATTGAAACAAATTTCGGGAATCAAACGTGACACATCAGAATAACAAATAAATCAGGATGTTAACCCATAAACACCATAAAAATAGCCAAGGTGTTGACAATAGCTTTCTTATATGCATTCCAATAGAGAACCAGATACAAGGAAACTACAACTAGATTCTTAACTTCAAGCTGGATCAGACTGCTTATGGAAGGTTTTAATGAAGATAACAAATGCTATCAGTAATTTAAGACTAACAGTGCTACAGGCGCTTTCACGCAAAATTATCAGTTTGTCGAAATTGAAGAGTACTGTTAAGTCTCAAAGCTAATCGAACTAAGCTAAATTCATGTTCTTTGGTTTGAGTATATCCATTTCATTCCCTTTTCCTTTTATATTCCCAACGAACATTGAAAATTTTCTCCACATTGAGATGAATTCCCCTGTTTTTTGGAGAGAGGAAAAATGGCAACTAAAGCACGTTTCATAACAATTTCATTTCTAGTTTTCTGTTTCACCATTATTACAAACACATTAGATTCTATGTCAAATTAATTTTAAAAAATTGGGAAGGAAAAGTTGCAAACAAAACAAGTGTTGAACTACTGTTTTTAGTCTTTAAAAAGAAGATATAAAAGCAAAAGTGGAAGTAATGTTTAAAAGCTAAAATTTAAAAAACAAAATAATTATCAAACGACATTCACATGCTGTTTGTTTGGTAAGGAACAAACAGAGCCAGGTTTAGTAATGACTGTAAAGTTGAATTCTGACAACTTAATTCAATGAAGGCATGGCTGAGTTGATTTAATCCTATTTTCACTTGGGAGATCAATGTTCTCTTTCCCATGTGCAATGTGGTCTTTGATCCAGTAGAAAGACATAATTTTAGGAAACAGTTAGATGACTAAAAATCAAACCTGAATTCCTTCTGACAATTCAAGTTCTTCAGTTGCAGTAAGAAGTCTAGAATTGCTTGTAGTCGCTCTTAAGTAACGCAATGGATCGGAGTAGTCCACTTCCTGGACAGAATTACGCTTCTTCCGGCTGCTAGAACCAGACTTCACTGACACTACACTAGTAGCAATCTTCTCTGCTGCTCGTGTTCTTTTAGCCCTCCGTTCTGTCTGACGCCTTGACCTTACAGCTATATTAGAGAGTTCGTCCTGTAAAAGTTCAAGTTCTTCAGTTGTTGGATCTGTGTAATCAGATTCTGCCGTGTCGTGTTGCAGAGCATCACCTTCCGCAGGGCGATTATTAACCCCAACTGGTACTCCTATTATATCAGCCCTTTCGGATTCCATAAATTGATCCCATTTGAAATGTAAAGCATCAGATTTGGAAGAAGATTGAGATTTTTTTCCAGTTTTGGAAGAGTTGCTATTATTAACCAGAAGAGCTGCATCCTTAGCAACCTTGACAGCTGCTTTCGCAAGAGTAACGGCTTCAGCTGCAGCAGCTGCTATTGTAGCCTCCTCACTGGTAAGAAGTGTCGAGGCAAAACTTGATTCGACTGCACTTAAATATGATCTTAGTCTTTCTGCAGAGATCGAGTCGGTGTTAGCATCTAAAGGAGGCAGTTTAAGTCGTTCCACATTGAATGTTGTGGCTGTTCCAGTTGATGTTGATGGTGATGCAGCAGACAAGATACATTGTGTCCGTAAACTATGAGGATCTCTAACTTTAGCTGCATAATTCAAACAAATATTATAAGAAAACTTTCAATAAAATTAATTGACGCTATTCGCACTAACATTCAACTCAATGAACTTCTTGGTTATAGATTTAGTAAAGATGGATCAGCAATATAATTCCATCTATGAAAACAAAACTTCAAACGTATAGATGAAATCCTTAATGGGAAATCAGCTGTTTTGGAAGTATGTTTCACATAAAGGCATAAATTGACACAGAAAGTCTTGCTTCTTGCTCTATCACCATCTGGTGCAAGAGGAGTACCAAAGTTCGTATGCTTGGGACTTCACTTCTCCATTCTACTTAAATAATAGGGAATCAATTACCCCTGTAGATAGGAATTGCCAACTCAATAATGATGTGGAAAAAGGTTACTGATTATTTAAAGAGAGGAAAAGAGGCCTTTGATTGGTCTTCTCGAGCTCCAAAGTCATTTTGAATCCCTTTAATATCGATAATTGGATGCTTCGTGCTCCAAGGCAGAGCCAAAATTTTTAATAGGAAGAGGCAAAGTTAAACCTTCTAATTTTTTATATATATATAATCTTTTGATTTTGAAAGTTCAGAGAGGGCAAATTAAGGAGAAAAAAAGCGTTAAAATCTTAACTGCTTTGTATAATCTTTTTAATCTAAGACGAACTAAGTAAGAGTAACCTTCCTTCCTTGTTCCACTCCTGGTGGCACTGAGACTATATTTTCCAATCACTTATTTGATCACCATATGGCCAAAATGGCCAAGCAGAGATAAACCATATATCTATGGCAGATGGAGCACACAACACAGTATTTCAATAGCATGAGGAACAGTCTACCTAAAACTTGCACAATATATTTGAAAAAGAAAATATGTCTCGAAATCCTCATCAGATACTATAACAATGTCAAAACTATCAAGCATCATTTGGGAGATGTTTCAAGGCAAATCAGTACTTAGATGCTACACAACCACATTTGAAAATCCTTCCACCATTTAAAGCAATCCAACTCAAAAAACTTGAAGCCATGGCTGGACTAATCAACTAGCAGCAACCCATTTGGGCTCAGATTGAAAATCAAGCAACACACAAACAAGACATCAAAAACAGCAAAAACCCATTTGAGCACCACAAGATAAAAACTGGGAAACGACAGAACGACAGAGTAAGAGACTCACTGCAACTGGAATTGGCGGTGGGAAGAAAGTTATGATGGTGAGAGTAATTAGCCGTGGTTGTAACCGTTATGGCCGTCGTCTTGAATTGGATTGAGAATGTTTCGGGGTGGCACTTGAATTGGGGAAGTAAACACGACATCGCCTTCTTCTTCTTCTTCTTCGTCTTCGTCCTCCAAGTGGGTTATGGATTCTGCTACTCTGTGATTGTAGCTATGGCGGACATGAGGAAATGCAGTGAAAATTGCGCTCAGTCGGCCACCCAGAAGCGGAAGAGGGGGGAATGTGAAGGAAATGAAAAGGGTTTCATTGGGAAGTGGGAGAGAAGGTTTGGAGGGTGGGATTGGAGATGGAAAATTGTGCTGATTGGAGAAGGAGAAGAAGGAAGCTATGGAGGAGAGGAAAACATTTGGAGCATTTGTTGATAAAACAACGGATAAGAGACTGCCAATTTGCCTCTCCCCAACTTGATTTTTAGAGAGAGAGAGAGAGAGAGAGAGAGAGAGAGAGATTTTCTCTCTCAACAAAATGGAATTTTACACAATCTTTGCAAAAAGTAATGAAAGAGAATTTTCTCACTATGTTTAATTCTAATCTTTTTTTTTTACAAAGTTTAATTCCAATCGTTGTAATTAAGAATTAAGAATCAAGAGGTTGTTATTTTTAATTCTTTACATACATGCCCATTGTAAGGTTGAAACAACTCGAGCATAGTTCAAATATCTATTTTTTACCATAAGATCGTGAATTCAAATTTTCATCTTTATAATATTGTATTAAAGAAAATGGTAGTTAATGGATAAATAGATAGAGGAGAGGGGCGAAGAGAGTAAAATATAAAGTTTTATTCTTTGTCAAATGGGAAAAATGACAAGTAAAAGAAATTTTATTCTATGTGCAATCTATAGTGTGACGAAAGAACAAAGGATATAAGTGATTTCATTAAAAATATATATATACGATGACTACTCTTTATCCCTATGAATGTGTATAATACTAAATCCAATAATTGATATAAAGCTATGATTCTAAAACTTATCAAGCTATAATACTAAAAACTTAGCTGTTTTCTCATTTTGAATATGACTTTTTCTAAAGTAGTTCCACTAGCATGCAGATCGACAATAGAGAGATTAGTCCCTTTGAGGTTCATCGATCACGTCTGAAATTCATCTTGAGTGATTTTTTCTCTTTCTTCGATGGCGAACATGGTAGGATCCTTAAAAAATAAATATTTTTGTTATTAACTATTTTGAGTCCTAATTTTTCCATAAATGTATTATAACCTCAACCAAGAGATCATGTGATCGAGACCTCCATCTCACATATTGTTGAGCTAAATAAACAATATCAAATTTGAATTTAGGCCAGATAATCATGGTCCCAATTAAATTTTAACCCGTCACAACTTTTTAATAAAATAATTAATCACAGATATGAGAGCAAGGATTTGAACATCTGATTCAAGTGCATCAATCAATAGGCTACACTCTAGTTGGTCACTAATAACATAACTAAACATTAGTTTGATCCTATACTTTCAACTTTGGTTCATTTTAGTTTTTTTACTTTCAAAATGTTAACTTTAATCCCTATACTTTCAAAATGCTAATTTTGATAATTTACTTTCAAATGTCTTGTACTTTTAAAAAGTGACCATTTTGGACCATTTATTTTATTTTAATTCTAATTTTTTTCTATCATAATTTCATCACAACACTACCCCTATATTTCTTGAAATATAACCATAATTTTATATTAAATGATTTTCGTTAAGTGTAGAATTTATGTTAAAATTTTGAAAAATGGACCAAACTAATCACTTTTTAAAAGTATAGAGACTAAAACAAACATTGAGAAAGTCCAAAAATTAAAATGAACCAAATTTGAAAATGTATGGATCAAAATAAACATTTCGAAAATAAATAGACCAATCCTTACTTTTAACTGGTTTGTAATTTATAAAAGTTGGTTATTTTTGAAATCCAACTATTTAAAATTATAGATTAAACTTTAGAAAACAAAAAAAGTTGGGCTAGGTCTAGTGGCCCATAAATTCATCACATTGGGCCAAAACCAACGTTGGCCCATTTATATTGGGTTCCCAATTCCTTCAGGCTTCAGTCTCATAAGCTCCATTCCCATTTCTCCCAAATCTCAGTCAGAGCAAAAGCGGCAAAATCTCTGCGTCGTCTTCCTCGGAGCAAAATGGCGTCGGGTCTTAGCAATGGCACCAGGTTATTCAGAGCTTGCGGAACCCTATTGGATTCGCTCAAATCCGCCACCGGAGCTTCCTATTCTTCCGCCGCTTCGACCTCTCACAAGTCGGCGGCCTCGAAGCCGAAGGCGAAGCTGAAAGCTTCCGCCGCTACTTCCACAGAATCCGGAGCAAAGAAAGAGGTCAATCGTTCGTCGGGGATCTTCAAGCCGGTCCAAGTGTCTCCGGCTCTCGGTAGCTTCCTCGGTATGTCCGAGACTTCGCGTTCTGAAGCTGTCAAGCAAATATGGTCCTACATCAAGCTGAATAATCTCCAGGTTACTTCCCTTTCTCTCTTGTTTTTCCTGATATGACCTAATTTTTCTGTATCGTTGTGCTAGTTCCTTATTTCCTGCGCTCTGTTCCTCTGCCTCGTTAAGGTCGCCTTAGTTTCGTTGAGAATACCTTGGAATTCAAATTTACGTTAGCTTAGAGCTTAAAGTTTGAGGTGGAGTGTTGATTTAATGGAGTATCCGATGAGAGCCCTCTTCGCGCAGATTCTGTATTCAGCATACGTGCATTACAAAAATTTAGAAATATGAAGCCTAGATCGAAGAAGGTTTCCGAAATGGAAAGTCTGAATCTGAAAATTAGGTTAAATTATAAGTTAAAAGTCCCAAATTGCGGTTGCAGATTATGTGTATTTATTTTTTAAAACTTAGAAGAGTTTCATCGACCCATGGTTGATGAACCAAAAAAAATTATATTTCTATTTTATTTCCTACCATAAATAAATAATTTATGTGTATTTATTTTTCTATTTTCACCTGTTCCTAAGTTTAATTTGGATTGAATAATCATAACCAACCTGGTCTTTTTGTAGCCACAATGGCATTTATTCAGTAAGGAGGTTTAAGGATTAATTTGGGTTTATGCTCAGCTCCAAAAAGCTAGCTGCTTAGAGCGGGGAGCACTTGTCAATTTCTTGTCCATTTCATTTGATTTGAGGGAAAACACCTCTAATGTTTTCCTATTATAGGTTTGGTGTAACTGTAATACCAGGATCTGCTCTCTCTTATAAAATGAAATGGATGTCATCCGTGAGTTTCTGTAGTGTGTATCTGTAGTGTGTATGACTTATGCACGGTTTATATAGCAAACGAATTATCATAGTTTGGTCTAGTGGTCAATAAGGACCAATGTAAATAGTAAAGAACTTAAAGGGAATGAGTCCAAACTATGGTAGCCACCTACTTAAAGATTAAATATCCTACAAGTTACCTTGACAATCAAATATAGTAGGGTAAGATAGAGAATAGTTGAGTTGCGCGCAAGCGGACCTGGACACTTACGCATATCAAAATATATATATATATATATCGCAAAAGAAACACCTCAACTTTTTGTATTGAAGCACCCTAGAAAGTGATCTTGTTCAGCCTGAAGTTTATTATCAACTTACGTCATGGTTCTTTGTGGATGAAAATATTGAAAAAAATATGAGGAAAATGTGGATGTTGATGGATATTCCAAAAAGGCCATGAAAAACACATAATCAGCTATATTATGCTAGTATTTTGTTAATGGTGTTAATGGTATTTTAACCTATTGTTACCCTTTTTTTTTCTGAGTTTGGAAGATTTTGGTGATGTATATATATATGTGTATATTTTTTTATTTTGTGGTATGCAGAACCCTGGTGATAAGAGAGTGATCCATTGTGATGAGAAGCTGAAGGCAATATTTGATGGCAGAGATAAAGTGGGGTTCTTAGAGATTGGAAAATTGCTATCCCCTCATTTTGTGAAGTCTAGTTAACTACTTTCCAGTGCCATGATCCATTAACTTACTTGTTCTAACACTTCTCTCTCATCATCCTGTCTTCCAAAATTCTTGATGATGATGGTGGTGTTGTGTTTGCTTAATCTAATCCCATGACTTCAGTGTACTCTTTTTTGGTTCGACTCTGATCTCAGAAAAAAGAGGTATTTCTTCTTTCTCAGACATTGGACTTACCGGAAAGGAAAAATACTTGCCTACACATCAGTCCTATAACCTTATGTGCCGTGTTCTTATTGGTCTATTTCTGTTGCATTTAATAGATATATGAATCTATGGAATTCTTTTGACCCAATAAAATATGTCACATTAGGAGGTCAGATCAATATGGAGGCAAGTATTTTACCATACTTACTTGGACATGGATATATGCATGATAGATGCAACCGTTGGGAAGGTAAGTTAGGTAAGTTATACTTTGACTAATTGAACTAGATTATATATTTGTTTTATAAAGTTGTTTTAAAATACTATAAAAAATTTTTATACAATTATACATCTGTTTTTATAAGGTATGTTGTTACCATATAGACAATTATTTTTAAAAATGAAAAATAGAATACAAGGGTTTGGTAGTAGTTTGCACCGTTCATTTGTTCTTTTTAGATTAAATTACCAGTTTAGTTTAACTTTTAAATTTGTGTTTAATACACATACATAGTAATTATTAATTCCTAAGGTCGGTAAATGTCAATATTGCTACACATTCAAGTCATTTATTCATAAACTTGCGAAATTTAAAAGGAAAAATGATTATATTTATTTTTTAAAAAACCAATCAAGTCAAAAAAAATAAAAATACACTAATAGTAATAGAAAATGATCGAGGAGGGAAAGGAATTTAATTTTATAAACTTGAGAGTCATGAATTGGGGAGGGGAAGGCAATATGATTTAATTGAGAAGATGATGAACCCATTTATCAAGAATAACAGGGGAGCCATACCAGGGCCTCAATTCATCATCTGAACCAACAGGGGAGTGATAGACTCCATCAAAGCTAATATTTGTTGCTCCCTCCAAATGAGCAGACACTTCTGGTACCACGCCATCTCCCCATACCTCCGTCTCCCCGCATACCTGATACAGTCAGTCAATTCGAGCATAGTTCAGAGTTTGATCCTTCACCAAAGAGAACTCAAAATGAAATAAGCAAAATTGAATCTACTATCAACTGTCCAACGTTCCAATTCGATTACCTGCTTATAACCTTGCCCGATGAAGCGAGCGCGGAATGTGGGCGAGTTTGTTGAATTAGTTGTGTCATTTGCTATGGCTAACTCCGAATTTAGTTGGTTGTTGGTGATGGAAGCAGCTGCAGGAGTAATGTTTGCATCTGAATTACCAAACAAGCGAGCCCCTTGGATGAACCTGCATTTTGTAGTGCCCGATTGTTTATTGATGTCAGCACATTTTGTTAGGAAATTCAAGAGAAAAAGTCTGTGAAGTTTTATGTTTACTATTTTCTTGGAGTAGCCAAGTAAACGATATTTCTAAAATTTGCTCTCTATTATCTTCCAAATTTATCTCTAAGTGTATCTTTTGGACTCTTTTTTTTTCTCTCTAAAATTTTGCTCACTCAATAGCAAAAAATTTAGATAAGAGAGATAACGAAGTGTAAATTACTCAGAAGGAAAGAAAGATATATAATTTCTTATTTTCCAACTTCTCTTTCTCTATCTAACAGATTTCAGATCAAACTGTATATAATTGTGTCCCTAAAATGTATAGTTTTTCTCTCTTGGGATTGTTTCTAAGTCAAAACTTTTTCTATAAATTGGAAGAATAAGGTCCTACTCTCGTTAAAAGATGAAATATATTGAATTCTTCACTAAGGAAAATATAAAATAAGATCTCAATTTTGCCCATTTACCTTCCTGCAATACATACATATTTCAATTCAGGATTGTAACCAGCTTTTGAGCAATATTTGTCCACATAATTCAGAAGCCCCCTCGTCTGATCAATCACTCCAGGCAAACCTTTCGGGGGTGGCCTAATAAAAAGTTGCAGAATTTATTTTGCTTCTACTTTTACATGAAAACTAAATAAACTCAGGACGACAGCAAACATATATAATTCAATCAAACAAGTGATCGATCATTCAATGGAAAAAGTTGATGTATATGATCAAAGATAAGTTTAAATTTCATTTCGGTCCTTAAACTTTTGAAGGGCCAATTTTTAGCCATTGAATTTTAAAACACAATAATTTTGATCATTGTTGCTTTGCCATTCAATATCAGCCTAATCCAATACCTCAATTAGCCTACATAACTTTAACATGTGCTTATATCAGCACGTTAATACATATATTTGAAGTCATGTCATTCGCCTATTAAACAATTGAAAGTTATGGCATGGATTAATGAGCAGGAAGCATGATGAGAGAAGTATTAACTTACTGGTGAGGGGTTCCAAGAGTCAACAGCATGGAAATATGAGATATACCAAATTCTTCCATGTAGACTCGTGCAAGCCATCCACCCGCTGAGTGCCCGATTAAGGACAAAGACCCGCCTAAAGATTGAGATAATTCGACTCTTTAGGAACTATGGTACACCAAGAATGTAAATAATTTGTAGATGAAAACAGAAACACATGAAATACAGAAAAGGGTGGGGTGGCGAAAGGATAAAATCAATTTTAATTAGAGTTTTAAGTTATTAAGTTCTCAATTTAGAAGCTTGAAACAGAAACAGTATTTATAAATATTTCAAGCCTTTAAAACACTAAGAAATCACTTGGGTTGTCGAAGATTTTTGCAGCATAAGAATGCACATTGGTATTTCCAACTCAATTGGTGTTAAAAAAATGTTCGACAATACTAAATTTCGAATCCCACAACTTGTTTGAACTAAAAACATTCAAAATCTCTCTTAAAGACCAGTAAAGAAAAAAGTATAACAAGTAAAACTAATGAAAATATAGTGGCTTAGCAAAAATGAGGGCAAACCTTGCGCGAGCTCCTTGGCTTCTTGGACTGCCTCATCTGTTTTCTTCAGATACCTGCTCACCGGCTTAAGCAATCAAGCAGTTAATTCACAGATTGGGAACCAAATTTCTAACGCATCCCCCACTACTTCTCAAACAATTTTAAAGAAACCGACAGTGGAAGTAAGTACCAATCGAGAACAGGGCGGGGACGGAGAGTGCCGCGCCAGTAACTGGGATCCAGCAACCCAGCCGCATTCCTCAGCCAGTCAAGTCTCGAGACCTTAACAACCACGGCGGGGACGCCGTGCCGCTCTTTCAAAAGAAGCGTCAATTTATCATAGTCCCCGGAGTTGTTCCCCAACCCCTAAATCAAAACCGAAGATCGATTTAACTCACTCATGGTAATCGGAATCCGAAATTGAGAGAGAGAGAGAGAGAGAGAGAGAAATTGATCTTACAGGAAGAATAACGGCGGGGCGGACGGCGGAGGACGGCGACGAGAATCGGGCACGAGAAGAAGAGCAGAGACAGGGCTTCAAGTTCAAATGCTGAGGTGAAAATGAAACCGCCATTGCAATGCTGCTATATTCCGTGGCGCTGTTACTCCATTGAAGAGAGAGATTGAAGTTCCTCCGCAGAATTGAAATTGGTGGTTCCTTCTCTGTAACGATGGCGCGAGAGCGAGGTGTCAAGATGTGGAGCGTGTTCGCCCCCAAATCCACTCCCTTCGATTAACGGTTTAAATATTATTTTAGCCCGGTTTATTTATTTTATTTTGGTCTTTATACTCTGGTGGAGATTGCAGGATTGGGTTGGATTGAATCGGATCAAGAGGGGGTTGAATTTTAAAGGTTGACCATATAGTTAGAATGGGAAGGTCAACTCAACCCAATATTTTCGGGTTGAATTGTTGGTTTGTGTTTTCATTTTTTTATTTTTAATTATCGACAGTGGGGAGTTGAGATTAAAACTTAATGTACGACTGAGATTAAGATACAAAATGGAAGAAGATAATATAAAAACTTTGAATGAAATACTAGAATTAACACTAAATGGACGGTTGACATTGAAGATAAAGATATATATACATGCATAAATTCGGGTTAGGTTGGGTTGACCCGATTTTGTAAAGGTCAGGTTGGAACAGTCACAACCCAACCCAACCCAAGGCTTCATCTAATCCAACCCAAACCTGGGTCGAGTTTTTTGAACACCTCTACTTTATACTCTACCTACAAAATGTCTATTTTGATTTATATCTTTTTAATTTTTGTTTATTAAAAAAATTGTTTATGTTAGTTATGTGTTTTTAAATTATTTATTTTTGTGTCAAAACGAACATAGTTCAGCGATAATTGACATATATCTCTAATCAATAAGTGGTGAGTTCAATCTTTCATCCCTACATTTTTATAGAATTTAGAAGAGCGACGATGTTGCTGGAGGAGTACTCGAGGAGGAGGGAAGATAGAGGAAGAGAAGATGGAAAGAAAAAAATATGTCACCTAAATTAAAAATAATATAAAATTAATAAATATACAACTCACTAATATGATGTCAAGATTCAATAATGATCTTTTATAACAACTTACTAAAGGTTAGGATGTGAATGTGAAGTGTCAGATTTTTTATCTTAGAAACTAAATAGAAATATATCTTCAAATTTATGGACCAAAAGAATATTTTATCCACTAAATTATTACATATTAAAATTCAATAATGAAATGGTTACTTCAATTAAAATACATGAACCAGATGTGCTTTTTCAGCCATTTAAATTTCATTTTGATCCTGCAGTTTTAAAATATCTATTTTAATAATACGTGTCTCTTAGGTCTATTTTATTTTCACCTATGATCTTTTAATAGGCCTATTTTAGTACTCAACCTTAATTTTATTTTGCTTTTAGTAAATTGATAATGTAACTTTAGTGATGTGTATTAACATGTTCACCTCTAAACCTATTAGAGCCACATAGGTTGGCCAAGATGTTTATTGCATGGAAAATAATAGAAATGACTAAAATGCTTATTTTTTAAATTTTAGATACTAAAATAAACATTACAAAAGTTGAAATACGGAAAATGATTTTTTATTTTTTTAAAAGGAACTAAAATAGACATTTTCAAAGTTTAGACTAAAAAAATATATATGATTAAAATCATTTTTACCTTTTATATTTAGACCGAAATAAAAAGTATATATTTATTTTAGCAAAAATATACTAAAAGATACAATTTTGCAACTGAAGGCTCAAACTTGCAACCGGAAGAATTTTTAATTAAATTATAAGAAATATATTATGTAGAATTTTTATTATAAATATATACTAAAAAATGTATACGCGTAGAAAATGAAGGTTCAAAACGTGACATATGTCAATTACCGTTAAGCTATGCTTACTTTGTCGCATGTTTATATATATATATATATATATATATATATATATATACACTAAAAATATCATATTTAAGTATAAAGGGTAAGTTTAACGTACCTAATTACCTATTCGTTTGGTTACATTTTCTCCAAAGTAATTTTAATCTCAGGTTGATTTGCTTGAACTACATCTAAAAGTAATTTGACAAATTTCAAATTACAAGTGATTTTCTTATTTGTTAGAAAAAAGAGAAAAAGAAAACCTATTGGGCCTTCAGTTTGGGCTAACTTTGTTTTGTTGGGCTTTATTCTCATGGCCCATAGAAAATTTGGAAATCCAGAGTAATGGCCTTTATGTTTAATTTTAGGAATTTTTTCTAATTATGATGACTTCTACATCAAATTGGCATAAGAGTTTGATATATCTTTGACAAGGTCATTAGTTCTGAAAATAATAATTGTGGAGCTTCCCAAGTTTGACCATAGTCGTTGTTTCGAATGTTATTCTAATTTTGAAAAAATCCTAGACACCTTTTACATTGACATACATCGATTTATCGTTTATTTATCACAATCATAAGCTTAAAATTTCTAACTACACGTGAGAAATAAAAAATCTGATCTACCCACTCGAACGAATTTTTTAGTATAACAGTTCAGGAGGAGATTCAAACTCATGGTTTGAGGTATATGTTAATTATCGCTGAACTATGCTCGCTTTGGCTGATAACGATATTGAATAGTAGGATTTACAAGATGTTCACTCTGAGATAATTTTAACATTGAAACTAGCGAGAGTACCCAATTAAGGTAGTCTTAATTTGCCTAACTATTAAAATATAACTAGTTATTTATTTATTTTTAAAGATGAATACTTCTATGAGAACGTAGAAGTACCAAAGCATAATACACAGTTTACTCGACTGTGACTATGACTCATATAGGTCTTGACAGCAATCTGCATGTACATTTATATTTATGTACGTTTATGTAGTTTGTCTGATCTCGTTAGAGTAGGCATTTACTGAGTATTTACAATACTTCTTAACTTTCTTTTCGTGTCGTAGGAAAAATTAAGTGACGAACATGACGCCTTAACCATGGTTTACATAGCAAGTAATCGAGTATTATTATTGTATTATTGTGCCTTCATGTCTCTCTTTTTATATCAATAAATCTTTGATCATATATATTTAAGAATGTCATATTGTTTATTCTCCTTAGATGACTTCTTAATAATTAGCGTATCTCAGATAAGATGCCACATAAATATCGTGTCAAACTGAATTATTTTCAATCTATTCTCTCAAACAAAATTTATTGTGTCGATACGACCATCCTAATAGTTAGATAGAATTGGATACGACCATCCTAATAGTTAGATAGAATTGGTTTAGGTATTAAAGTTGAAACATTTCCCACCATGAAAAGGAGAGAACCAATATGGTCATCAATGTATCCCCACTATTGTCAAAGAAGCCATACATTCAATTGGACTAAAACTTCACCCTCTAGATCATCCCCACCACAAAGTCCAAATCCTCTCATTGGTTTTTGCCTATTATATAACTTTGATTAATTTATTTTTATAATGGTATATATATAAGTAAATATGAGATGTAGTTTCGAAATTAATATTTTAACTATAGTTTTATTTACCTAGTTACAAAATTCAAATATGAGATGTAAATTCAAATCTACGAGCATTAAGAAGTTATTTATATATATTTTTCTATTAAAAAGATTGAATAGGAAAGACTTGAGAGTCAAAGTTGGGTTGTTGGAGATTCGTTGAGGCAATTCAAGAAGCATTGCCACAAATGCAGACATTGATGAATCAAGGAAAGGTGGAAGTACCCTCCCCTAAAAAGTTGAGCCAATCGGATGTCTTCATTCAAGAGACTCAAGAGAAGAAGAAGAAAGAAACGAAGTGAGAGGCTGGGAGGCACCAAAAGGGCTCAAGTGATTCTCCGAAACAACAAGATCTTGAAAAAACAAATTTTTTCAAGTGTTAGTAGCGAGAATTGGAGAAGGTTTTTGGTGACAATACTTGTATTCATTGTATTAATCCCACTTATTATGATCTCGACTCATGATTCAATTTCAATTAATTCATAGTCAAGATGTCAAATTGGACTAAAAAAAGATAGAAATTAATTATGTTTGTTTCTACTTTTTTACGGTTTTTTTTTTTTAATAATTTCATCACATATAATATTGTTTACATGTTTCCAATTTTCTAAACATGGGTTCAAAGGTCAAATCCTTGATTGCCCAAAATTAAATAGTCAAAAGATTACCTTTATTTCATGCTATTTTATTGCATCATGAATAAATAAAATAAGCATTTTGATGTTTAAAAAATAAAAACAAAGAAAAAAGAATGTATTGGTTGTCCACATCAATACCCATTGGTTTAGTTTTTGGATGAGTTTTGACCAAATGTGAATATGAGTTGCATCCCACAGCTTTAATTTAATTGAAGATATTTTCAAAAGTCATTTTTTAACCATCAAGCATTTAATAAATTATGCAAAATTTTTAATAGAATTAATCAAATGAGAATAAGAATTAAATTTTTGGTTCATTTAAAAAAAAAAAGGAAGAGATAAATATTCACAATATTTATTGACTTTTTCATTAGATTTAATTTTTTAAAAAATATTTGTATAAAAGTTATTGATTTAGAATGAGATGGAGAGTTAAAACTGTGTGAATGTGAAAAAAAAAAAAAAAGATGGAGGGTCATCATAAACCTCACCTTGATGTCATCTTTAATATCTTATTCTTAATTTTTTCTTTTTCAAAAAATGAATCCAATCCTTAATTACAACATTTATAAATAAAAAATGCTCTTCAACTATATATTTTTCTCAAATTATTTTCAATATATTTTTATTTTATAAGACTCGATAGATATTCACAACTGTTGCTGTGGAGTAGTTAATAAGGGTTAAACTAATTAAGACATTAGTAATCTTGTTATAGTTAAAGTTGATATAGATTTAAAATCAGTAATATATATATATATATATATATATATATATATATATATATATATACTTTGGGCTAAATATATATTCGGTCTCTCTAATGTTTTGGTATTTTTTCCAATTTGATCCCTATTGTTTTAAAAGTTTTAATCTAGTCTTTTATATTTTTATATTTTTCAACTTAATCTCCCATCATTAGTAAATGTTAAAATTGACTGATGATAAATTTACATGATATAATACTTAATGAATTATTATAGAGAAAAAAATGTTATCAAGAGAAGAAAATTTTAAATTTGTACCAATTTCTTTGGAATTTAGAGGAGAAATTAGA